AGGGTAGGACTGGTGGACTGACTTAAGATTTTGAAGAACGAAGCACAAGAGAAAATGCCATTGGGGTTAGGTGTCCAAATTCTAGAATCCGCCCTAGTGGGGTCTAAGACAACGTTATCAAGAAGTGCAAGAAGGCTCGAATTGTTTGGCATATATTATGCCTTTAACTTTCCAAAGCACAAAGTCGAACTTTGATGGCAGCTCTATAGGTAATCCAGGCCCATCGGGTATAGGGGGAGTATTTAGAGATGGGGAAGACAGGATTATTGCCATTTTCAGGGCCAATAGGAGAAGGAGATCCATTAAGCACAGAGGTGATGGCTTTACTTTAAGGCGTAAGATATGCCAAACAATTGGGGCTGCATCCAATGGAGATTGAAGGGGACTCTAAGCTGTTAATGGGGTGGATGCAGTCAGGTTGTTTGGGAGCATGGAAATATAGACAGATGATAAGGGAAATAATCAATATAACGAGGGAGATTGGTGTGTTCTTTAAATGGATAAGAAGGTCAGGTAATGGGCTAGCGGATACCTTAGCAAAACAAGGGACTGTAAGAGAGAACATGTTTTGGGCAGTGTTGTGTTGAATCGGTCAGCTTCATAATAGGAGTTGACAGTTGTACTTTGACATCAGAGCAGAAATTGCTTAGTAAATACAGAAAGGTTACAATCTTTGTGATTATTTAAAGTTCCAAATTCATGTCACGCTACTTTAAACTTTCCTCCCCCAAACCCATTAAAAATCTGCAATTTTGGCCAGAAGTTTTTGCCCCCTACATTGCCTTGCTGAAGTTTTTTATGTAGCCTGTTATTTGTATGTATTGTTTCAAATTCACTATTTTCTAGCAAGGATTAAAATATCGATATACCCCATACCCAGAATTGGATATTAGTGTGTATACATTTGGCTGATACTTTATTTTACATGAATGAGAAAGACCTAGGCATTATTCCCAAACCTTGACAGTATCTGTTACAGCCTGCATTTCCATGGTTGCTGATATGGATACAATACACCCCATTTCATATCGATATTTTAACCCTTTCCTTCTAAAAATATTTGTGGCATTCTATGATACTTGTATATGGGTACAGGTTCTGTTTCATGCTTAAATACTTCAATTTTTAATGTAAATTTTAATTTCCAACATAGGCCAGCAGGTCCTTGGTTTACATAGGTGACATGTTTATTGCTTTTTTTTATTCTTATGAATTAGTGTGTTGAGCTTTTCCTCCCTTGTAGGAAGTGTTGTGTAGAAGGATATCACTCGATGAAAATGTAGAATCCACTACCATTGAAAATATTGCAGAAGGTGAACCTGAGCAAGATCGTGCCACTAAAACTGAGAAGTTGGGGAAACCCAGAAGGTAAGTGCAAACGAAAACATTATGCATGGTATGTTATTTTTTCTTGTGCAAACGAAATACATGGCCTAAAATTGGGAGGTAATTGCATTGAACACAACTAGACAACAGTTTTGGTTTTACTTCAAGCTGCATGTCATTTTCTTACCCGAAGTCCTAACCTAGTTTTTTTTTGGCAACAAGGAAACTTCAACCTGCTTCATCTTTATTGTTGAAAGAGATCAGTGGTTTGAACTTGGAAGATGAAAATGAGAAACCAAAGGTGTGTCTTACATTTCCTGTTCTGATAGTTTGCTATGTCTTGGAAAGTTATGGTAACCAAGTCTTGGAAAGTGATCCCTCTATTTATCAAAATGGTATGCATAGTAGCATACCTGCTCCCTAAAATTTTGAACTATCTATATCTGCTTTTGATAGTGAACCAATATAGGATGGGCAAAGCCAATTTTTAACTACTTGGACAAATCTAACCTCCTGATCACCTTTTTCTAACAATTGTTTTAGATATATGCAAGTTTTTTTCGTCATTACTATGATTTTTGTTTGCTATGAATAGGTGGAATGAACCCTAAATTACTTGTTTGGAATGGAGACAGCATCTGCCTTTTTGTCAAGCAACCCATTGATTAAATCATTAATTACTAAACAATGAAGTAATTTTCAGGGAAATAGAGCGGGTGAAAGGAAACTATCAACTGGGGAAAGAGGACGATCACAGGGTAGCATTTCCCTGCTGAAGTTGATAAGGAGTAATTTCCATAATTAATCTGATGTTGTAAATATTATCTTTTTGTATTTTGCGTTTTCTATGTGAAAATGAGAAATGAAATTTTATCCTGAAACTAGTCGAGAGAAATGGGGTCAAAATCTGTTCAGAGGTAGCTATTAAAACATAATTTCTCTTCTAGTCATTTGAGAATTAGATTTGGTGTTACTTTAGTTCACTTGTGCATCCATGCTTATTTTATTTTTTCCCACTGTTCCCATGCATTTTATATACTTCGAACCTTGACCCATCTATGTGTTTCCCAAGTGTATCTGATAAAATGCCTTTCAAATTCCCATACCAGCCATGTGATTTCTCGGTTAGAGTTTTGTTGCAAAGAGCACAAGCAAACGAGAATGGTTTGAGACCTCGGGGTAGGTAATAATGCCGTGTAATTGTATCAGCCTATCAGGTTTTAACCTGATTAAACAATGTAATTCTCTTATCCTTATTGCACCTAAGGTTGCATTTGGTTGCAATGCAAACTCAAATATGTACATTGCATATTTACCCTTTTTTCAGTTCATGAATGCAAACAGAGTTTACATCATGGTTTTTAAGTTACCGGTTTGGATGGTTTGACCGTTTGACCTGAATGGCTGGCCCCGTTTTGACAAAAATAAAAAAAAACTAAAAAATTGGAAAATGGTCAAAACCGTTTGAATGGTTGACCGGCCGGTTCAGCAGTTTGTTGACCAAAATCAATGGTGTTGGGGGAAAAAGCGATTTTGGAGAAAAACGGAACCGGTCAGGTGACCGGTTCTTGGTTTTTCCGGTCTGATTTGGTTTTGAAAATAGTGGTTCAAATTTTAAACCGTTTTTGCACTTTTGTTTATTTGAAATCTATACAAAGTGTGGGCCCACCATTAAATGCTTCAACTATCTTATGCTCCAATGACTTGACTTTGGTCAAAAAGTTAATTATCAAAAGAAATTGTATCCAAAAAATAGGTACAATAATGCTTGCAAATATGAATTGGGGTACATAAATACCCCGGTTCAGTGTTTGTTCGCAGACAAACAGAGCCTAAGGTTACATTTGGAAATGGTGCAAATATAATGTAAATGCCAGTTCAATGTAAATATGCATTCTGGTTCAGTTTTGCTAGTGTTTGGCAAAAATGCATTTATACATTGACAACAGTAGAAAATACAATATCCAAGTCATGTTTACATGTAATTTTACATTGAAGAAAAAAAAGTAAATTTGCATTCAAAGTGAACTTTTGTTAAAAAAGAGGTATATTACATTGGTAAGAAAGTAAATTTGTAATGCAAAACTAATTCAACTTTGCATTTGTATGAATTGAAAAATCCAAATGCACTCTGCATATTTGCATTTACACTTTGCATCTTTTCTAAATGCAGCCTAAATCAATCCATGAGTGGTCTGTGTGGTTGATTTTATCGGAGTAGGCGTTTAATAGCTTTTCCGTTTAGGTGCTATTAGCAGTATCGTACTTTTCATGAGCAAGAACTCATTAGTCATTATAAACCGGTGAAGAAAGTTTCGCTCCTTCAACGAGGGATGCTTGCATTGTAAATTGGACTTTTAATAAACACACTACTGAGTACTGACACTTTCTCAGCATTGTATTAAAATTGGAATTTTTTCAGGTTGATGTGTTAATGGCTTGGATTTTCTTAAGTGCTCGAGTCTGCAACGAGGCAATGAGAGAACAGAAACTTAAAAATGGCCAACCCACCTTTAATGGGTTCTATAGTCTATACAGTAATATTTCAAAGGGGTTATGTAGCTGACTCGGACCTTGTCTTAATGTTTGCGCGAGATGAAAATGAGGGAAAATACTTATTCATATACTAGTCTTACATCGTTCAAGATAGAAGAGGCTTGTGAGGAGATCTGTTAAATTAATTAGGTCGAGTACAACCGAGATCTGATTAAAAAGTCAATATGAAAGTGCGGATTTCCATGGGGCCCAGCTCGACCACAAGGGTAGAATTATCAACTGGACCACCTCTGACTACAGGCATCTCTCCACCATCCCCTTCAACTTTCCAATTCATCTTCCTCATCTTCGACTTCTCCTGGTTTGTTGACAAGCTCGTCTCTATCACTCCCTTGATCTGCAAGATGGAATCACAATAAATTAAGAAAAACACAACCCAGAATTTATCTTATTAAACATGTTACTTGCTCACGTGACAGACTGCTTCTATATAGATAGAGGCATAAACATAGAATGACTTGACTACAGAGTTCTACGAAAAGAAAGAAAAAGACACAAGATTAAATGTAATTGTAACATATAACATGATATTATATTTTATAAAAATGAAAAAACCAGGCGATAGATGTCTATGAACCAACAACTTGCAATGAAATCTTACATTAAATGTCTAAAGCTCGTGTGAAGAAAAAGTATTATAAAACAATTCAAATGGGTGAGACATTAAGGGGAAGAGGAAATACACACCGTTTTTTTAGCAAAAATCTTCTTTAGTTCCACTTTAGCCATTGTTGAATATTCCAAATCTTCACCAGCCTAATCAAATCCATATCATAAAAATTAGGTGGAAAAATAATACCTAATAATTTCAAATTGATAATTCATTGGGGACAACAGTTAATTTTGACTATTAACCATTCAAACATTATCGTTTAACTCCATTTTTAATAGAAATGGAAGGAGATTTGAGATATATCATTGTTTACCTCATATAAATGAGCAAGCCGAAGGAGCACACTTCCATCCTCTAGCTCCTGCAAAAGCAAATTCATATATAATTGAAGTCATTCATGCTCTTTGAAAAGGCAGAGAATGTTAATGCAAAATCAGTTCAAGAATATAGGAAAGATCACCTGAAGTGTGATCAGTGCAACATTAGGAGGCAAACTATAGTCAAGATCCATGACAGTACCCTCTGTCGCATGAGAAGCTCTCCAATCCTCCATTTTCTGTAATATCAATTGTTTATGAGATTAGTATGGTAAGAAGACATTTGATGGGCATGTAGACCCAGCCAACCATTGCCTAGTGGTCTGATGGGCATGTAGACCTAGCCAACCATTGGCTGGGTCTTGGGCTTCGGATAATAAGATTTCATCCCATAAGCCAGGCCTGATGGGTGATGATTATTTTCCCTATGCATATATTCTATACAAATATTTCTAGTCCATGTTGATTTTTTTTTTTTATTTTCCTAATCCATGTTGGAATTTCTCCCAAAGAAGCTTTTATATGTTTTTTTTTTCTTTTTAATTTTTTCACGTATGCTTGAAACAAATTCATATGTAGTTGAAACATTACATGTAAGATATACCTCATGAGTGAAAGCTAAAAGCAAGGGAGAATAAATTTCTTGACCAAATGTCCTGCGCCAGCGTGCACCAGTCCCAACCTGGTTGATGCTTATATAGTATTTTCCACGAATCTGAACAATCAAGAACAATAAAGAAAATTAACAGATGGAAGATTCAGTTGAAACTTTTGAACATCATATGAACTTTTGCTAGTAATTTCAATCAGTTTAATACCTACCACAGGAATTAAAAGCCTAAAAGTTTTCCATTTCAAATCAAGAGATAAAATTTGAACATGCAGAAGAAACCTCAACAAATTTGGTGGACCTTGAATGATCTTTTTACATGGACATGAAGATCATCATTGTCAAAGCCTTATCCCAACTATATGGAGTCAGCTACACGAATTCTGTTTCACCATTCCATTATGTTCAAAGCCATACCGTTGCTAAATTACTACTTCAACCCATGCCCCTTTTGGTCTACCCCTAGCCCTTCTAAACTCTTCAGCTTGCAATAGACCACTTCTTGTGAAAGGTGCTGTCAATGGTCTTATATGCATGTGACCAAATCATCTTTAGGCTACTTTCTCTCATTTTATCATGTATTAGAGCTGCTTCTAAGTTCCTTTGAATGACTTCATTTCTTACCGTATCCATTTTAGTTTTTCTGCTCATCTATCTCAGTATATGCATTTCTGCCACACTCATTTTTTGGACATGTTGTTTCTTAATCATCCAACTCTGCTCCATACAGCATAGCTGTCCTTACAACAACTCTATAAGACTATAAGATTTTCCTTTTAATCTAAGTGGTATTTTCCTATCACATAAGACTTTGGGTGTATCCCTCCATTTTTCCAATCCTACTCTAGTCCTAGGGGTGACATCCTCCTCAATATCTCCTTTGCAATATTTTAAGACCAAGACTTGACCGAACAGCCGAACTGTTAGACCTGGGAACTGGAGGCCATTCCGATTTTTTTTAAACCACTGGGTATCAAATTTTCGGAAAACCAGTAGAACCATTGAAAACCGGCCAAATTTTAACAATCTTCCAGTTTTGACATTGCGCCCGAGTCAGAAAATGCTTAGAAACTTATAACATCAATGTGAGATTCAAACTTGTGACTTGTTAATTGGCTAAGTTAACTTATTATCACTAACATTTCATTATTTGTGCTCAAATATGTATCTTTAATGTATATATTTTATTAAATACATGTATATTTTCATAAAATGATAATGGCAAGAATTGAACTCTAGACGGTTGACATTTGGGACCGAAAATGATGAACTAACCATCCAATCAGCATACTTAGACATATTTTAATTTACAAAAAATATTATATATTAAATGTGTGACTAGTGGTCAAACCATTGGACCCACGACCTGTAGGGGTGGATTCGATCTGAGCCGAATACTTGGATATTCGAGCTCGGCTCGCTGGAATAGTCTTAGGCTCGAGCTCGACTACAAGAGAAGTTTTTTCTAAAAAATAAAAATTATACATATAAAAATTGTTTTTATTTTACATACAAAAAATAAGAATTATAAAAGTTATTTACTATTATACATAAAAAATAAAAATATTATATACAAAATTTTTTGTTATACATAATAAAAATTATATATATATATATATTTATATATTTATATGTATATGTATGTATATTTATTTATTATACTAGGCTCATGAGCCGAGCTTCACTGGGCTCGAGTGAGAAGCTCGGCTAGTGGCCACCCCTAACGACCGGTAAAGCATTCCGGTTTTGTGTTCGGTTTGAGTCTTACAACATTGCTTCATTGTTATGAATTATCAAATCCAGGTACCTAAAAGGTCACATTGACTTATCTCTTGGTCTCCAATCCTAAGTGTACTACTACTGCTTCCATTATTATTAAATTTACAAATCATTTGTTCTGTTTTAGTCCTATTTATATTGAAACCTCTTGCTGCTAAAAAAAATTGTCTATAAACTTAATTTTGCATTTAATCCTTCATTAGTTTCATCAGTTAAAACAATGTCATTAGCAAACAACATGCACCATGGGACGTCCAACATAGACATGAAGAATCCCCCTCTAAATAATAACCATTAATTTCATTATACACAGCTGTCATGCAGTGTAGTGCAGAGATTTTTTCTTACTAGGTATTAAAAAGTTATATAACAATTACTAGCCATGGTTGTCTAGTTTAGTGCAGAGGCTGATTGCAGAACTATGGCTGATATAAATTTTGAATTATTGTTGTTGCATACCCTTCTTGATGAGTTTATAATTACATCTAAAACTCCTCTATTGGGATATTGTAACAACCAAGCTGCAATTAATATTTTGCTTACAATCCTGTACAACATGATCACAGTACACAGATTGAAGCATATCAGCATTTTATTTGAGATAAAGGTTGCTTTGATGGAGGTTTCTTCATAGTTGCAATTAACTGATAGAATGACCAAAACGGTGGCCAAGTCTAATTTACAAAATAATCTTGGCAAGCTGGGCATGATAGATCTCTATGCTCAATTTGAGGGAGCATATTGAATATTTTGAGTTTTTTTAATATCTTTTTATTATTATCATTGTCAGGGGTATTATGTAATTCTTTTTTCAAATTTTAATATGTAAATAACAGTGAAAGGTCCCACTGTCCCAGCTTTTTTCTTCCCTTCAAATCATAGTTTTCTTCCTCTCCACTCTTCTCTAACCTTTAATATCCAGACTATTTGCACTAAATGAAAGAAGAAAAAATAAGTAGAGTTTTCTGTTGCAATTAAGCTCAAGGCAAGAAGAAATTATGCAATAACTATTTGGTGTGTAGCTTTTATGCTTCACAAATGAAATATTCATTATACTGTTTATGTGACTAATAACGGTAGCATGGATGAGTAGAATTCTGTTGTCTTAATTTTCCCTATTCACCATTGGAATTAGATCCAAGATTTAACTTAACATTAATTGCAATGGTGCACAACTAACATCAGTATATGTTAACTTACCGTAAGCCCTTGACAAGTATCTTCTATACACACAGTCTCATCAAGAGCCTCACCAACACCTCTAGAATCATCAAAGATCATACGCCTAGTATAGAACCAAAGGTCAATTTTAACATGCTTATTGCAAACATGACAAAGATATTATAAACAAGCAATGGATAGAAAACAGAATGTATAGCAATAGAAAAGTGTTGAAATAAACCTATGAAGCATTAGCTCTAGTTCTCCATCTTCAATGCTGGCACCTCCAGTGGCACGATCAACCAAGACTGAGAACTCGGATTTATTATCCATTGTAAATATTCCAAGGTTAAGCTGAAATTTTTCAGAGATGTGGATATTTTCTTTTGTCAGTGGTAAAGGAACTAGAAATATGAAGCATTTTTGCAATGTAATTTTGAACTCTAGAAGTTCCCTTTGGTGCATTAACAAATCAATGTTTATTAACAAGTAATGTCTATATAAATTGTCCTTTTTGTTGGTACTCGGTACAGAAAAAGAAGCTTATTTATGCAATTAGTGCAGCCTAATCCATTGATGGTTTCATTCTTCTAATATGACTTGATTCCATGTATTATTCAAGTGTCTGTTTCAACCTATACTAGATTGTCAACTTAAGATGAGGTCTTTTTTTGGAGATAATCCCCTAAAAATTGTATCCCTCTTCTTTGTATTCTATTTGCGATAATATTATCCACTTATCAACAAAACAGACACATAACACATGGAAATTCTACATGCTACAGAGCTCTACTTACAGATAAGTAGGCCCCATATACAGTGCTCTGTTAATAGAGGCATCTACAGGCCAAGTGTTAACCTGATTATATAGTTTTAATATAGATCCTTCTTGGACCTTCCACAATCTTGTATTGTAGTACAAAAATAGGTACAGTATCGGACAGTTATGAATATTTGTGCTAATATATTCCCTAACACCCAACTAATGGAGGGTCTATCTCCCTCTGCATGTGTGTAATGTCATTCCATTAGTGATTATCTTGGAACCAAGATCTTTGAATCAACCTCATTTCATAATTTATAATGAGGTTTCCCATAAGAAAATAACTATTAATTATCAGTGGGTGGGTAGAACAGCTAATACCATAGCGAATGGGTTAGCTAAACAAGGGGTATCAAGGGAACATTTATTCTGGGCAGCTCTAAACTTTCTTTTACTAGTCTGAGGTAGTACGTTGTTGTTGTTGTGGAGAGGTACCAGCTCGTGCCTCTCCTTTGGGCAGGCTGTATTGTAATATCATTCTGATTATCATGAATGAAATTTCAATCATTTATCAAAAAAAAAAAAAAGTGGAAAAGCTTACTGGATAGTAGTTCCCAGCCACAGGTTGATTGACAGAAAGAGACCAATCAGCCCTATAATCTCTCACCTACAGTCATAAAGCATACGTTGAGGTCATGGTTAAAAACCTGAGAAAATGAGATTCCACAATACTAGTATAAATTTAGGAAACTCATAAACAGAATGTGCCAACTAGCTCAGTTGGTAAGGTCTATGGCTGGTTGTAGTGGAGACTTGGGATCAAATTCTGCCCCCACCAGAGTTTGGGGGACAGCCAGGCTATCCCCATTTTGTAGCCCCATGAAGCCAATAACAATAACAATGAAAGGGGGGAAAAGAATAGAGCGTGCATTATCAGAATAGAATAGAAAAATAATAAATAGCATGCTCACTTTTACTTGAAGAAGTCAAATACATAACTCCCAATTCAAAACTGAATTCACCACCATGATGTGATGTGATGATCTAAAATCCATGATCATGTGATATATAAACCCCAAGTATGTGGATCATTAGGATAGGGAATGAATATCTTGCAACTTGCCAATACAGGCTACTCTAAAAGAATTGCCGTGGCTTCAAATTAGCTAAATATCCATAAGATCTAACACATAAAACCACATGAATTTCAGACTTCTTGTGTTTAAAGATAATGAAGTAGGACAATATTGAAATCAATAAGATGATAAGACGCAGGAGCATCCCTGAAAGCCAGTGCAGGTCTGTTGACACTCACAAACAGCCCCATTTTCTGTACTTTCTTTCCCTAGCTGACACCATAGATCATCGTCCATTTCTCCTTTTCAGTTGAAGCATCCATTTCCCCATTCTTTTCCTGTTCACTACCACCTATTCTCTATTATTCTTACTATCAAATTACTCATATGTCTTCCATAAAATGTAAAAAATCTACCCATATTCACCTTTATTTGAGGTCTGGCCTGGCCCAGAAACTTCCCATAACAACCAACCCTATTTTATTCTGCGTCTCAAAACCTGAAATGTTATTAAATGTGAACTCTTAAGCCTCAAAACCTAGTTTTCTTGAGCCCATAACCCATAAACCTCGTTCATGTTGAACCATCTTACAATATCACACAAACACAAACCTAATCTAGTTTTTAAAAGACAATGATCAACTACAATCTGACCCACATAACTTAAAATGAATAGACTAATTACAACTTATCAAAGTTATGATATGCACATCAGCATTATAACAGTAAATCTGGACTTGATCACATATGCAAAATAACATGTGGTTCATTTTTTCACCAACTTCCAATATATACAACCATAAATAAGATACATGGTAAATAAGGATTTTTTAACAGATGTGCATGTCTTTGCTGAATATTTTTTAGAACCAAAACCAAAAGGATATGCATGAGAAATACCCGTTTTAGGAAATCTCTCCCATTAGAATCTGTATAAAACACTTTCTCTGTAGCCATATTTGCTGTCATTTGTGTAATGACCTCCTTTCCGACACCATCTTCCACTGGGATTGGGCCAATCTTCATTTTGAAATATGTCAGAACCACTAAACCTAACTATACCTTATAATTTATTTCTACATAATGGGCATAACAGAGAAATCTTGGGGAATAAAGTTTGGTAAAGGGGCTCACAGTGAACTCAACTTCAGCATGCTCTTTGTCTTTGTAAAGCCTAGTCACCTGAAAAGCAGAAAATAAAAGTTAGTAATACCTGAAAATGGCATAGAAATAAGTAGGAAATGACTACAAGGAAATAATAATAAACTCATTACTTCAAAATAAGAGGATGAGAAAGAGAGAGAGAATGCACTTAGTGAAAAAGAAAAAAGTGCCCCTGTTTACAGTGCTAAGAATTAATATGCAAGGTTACTTTTGAATTCTAAGTCAAGTGCTTTTAGCTATTCCTGGTATAACAAAAATGGGGTGTACCTAAATCACTACCCAAACAGAATAAACAAAAGAATAAAATGAAATAGAAGGCGATGACAGACACATATTGTTTACTTAGTATTGAATTGTGTGATACTAGCACCAATTACTTGCAACATGCAGCAAATGATAATATTAGGCATTTCACTTCCTAGAAATATCATTCTTATTCACTAACAAGATGATGCAATCAAAACAATCCAAGCACTTGGAGGATTCAACATTTTTCTTGGTGATTAAGGGTGAGGAAGTTCAAGAGAATAACTCCTCAGATTTGTGCCTTGAGAAGGGAGGGATTAGGATAATTCAGAAGGAAGGAGTTGAAGTCAATGGATATGGCATATCCAATAATAATTTACAATTTGTGCTCATGCTAAATGGACCCACTGGTTGTCTTTTCATAAATTTGTGCTCATGCTAGGGTGTTCACTGGAAGCAATGCTAAATGGATATGGCACTGAACAATACAGATTGGAAAGTGGTCTTTTAAAGTTGAACTCTCCACCCAAAGGTCTTCCTGAAAGAGATTACTAGAACAGAGATCATAATGGATGGAACTCAAAAATAGAGGATACATACCAGAAATGGCTTTTCAAGGTGAAGCCATCATAGCTCTATCTGACAAACCAACATCCTATCTGTTAAGCCTGCAATCCATGGATACTAGCCACTACCTTATGCCACAATTTATTTTGTCCACCAGAAATCTTCACAACCATTTACCCAATGCTGAATTCCTTATCCCAAACTTACCCAACCCCAAAACCCCCTGATCCTTTCTTTTGCATGCTGCTTCCCACTTAAATGATCCCTCATAGATTCCCTCGGCTCCTATAGAAATCCTGTCATTATTTTCTCGTGATTTTAAAGACAGAGAGATAGTAGATTGGTAGGTTGGCCCAAGTGGAGTTTATTACTGTTATTTTTCCTCCTATTAAGACATAGTTCTTCTAGGTGAATAGTTTTTCAGAAAATCTATCAATAACCAGGTTCCAGAAGTTTGTTGATCTTGAATTACCTCCCAGAGGGAGACCTAGGTATCTAATTGGAAATCAAGCTTTTCTTTTCTTTTTACTTTTTTCTTTTTTTATCAGTACCATTAAGCTTTTTTATCAGGAAATAAAAGAATTATTGCATACTTTTCTACTTCTCATATTGATGCCAGCAACGCAACACATTGTCTCCACATGTAACCTTTTAATCTATATAAATTAATTGTCAGCTTTTAGTACTGCTTTAGATCTTCACTGCAGACTATGATTAGCTACTGCATACAGCTTTATCATTGGAAGAAATATCTGGACACAATTCCCTTAAACGCAAGTGGAAATTAATTTAATCTGGCCACCCCAATAGTTTTAACCTTAATCCACTGTCTGTTTAAAGACTATTGCTGATTTTTATGTTGAAACTTCAAGTTTGAAACCATAAGTTTAAGATTAACCATATAAAACCTTAAACCAACTTTGAAAACCTAACTTTCCAACTCGTTTATACCATTTGATCTTATCTTACATTCTTTCCTTCATTTTGAGTTCCGATTAATCTGAAATACTAACTTCTACCCAATTTTCCTAACTTGTCCTGCATATTAACCCACCAATATTCCCTTCCTACTAAATTACAGTTCCTTTCCATTTTTCAAAAAATAAAAAATCCCCCTCTTATATGATGGGTAGTTGAGTATCAAAGCTGAATTCCTGATCCTCTTTTATCAGCAGCATAAGCATAGTAATGTGTGAAAAAACAGTACATCGATTGATAAGGCCCTTCTTCCCTACAAGTTGGAGAAAATAGCTGCAAACAGAACTAATCTCCTGTCCTGTTTTAGTAGGAATTTGGGAATAGGTTTTACTCTCTTTCATTGCAGCAGGACCCCTCCTGTGGTAAATGCTATATTCAGAAACACCTTTAGCAGTTCATCCCTCATACCAGAAGAGGAAAATATCTTTGGAGATGCACAAGAGCTGCAGTATTGTGGGCTCTTTGGGAGGAAGGAATGGAAGGCTGTTTAGGGATGAGATCAAGAATAGAGAAATTATCATTGTTAATGTCACAAGGAAAGTGACTCATTGGGTTAAAACAATGTGTTTGTTTGACTCCTTTTCAATTGATGACATCATTAGAAACTGGTACTTGGTAGCTCAGCCTAGCAGTAGCAGGAGTGTAGTAAGTACATCACTACTACATCCTCGGTGGATTCCTCCACCATAACACTTCATTAAGTTCAACTTTGATGGTTGCAGTAGGGGGAATCCATGTCCCTGAGGGATGGGTGGAGTTTACAGGAACAGCAATGGAGATAATATTAACAATGTTTTTGGGACCAATAGAGGCCTTGGATCTTCAGTCAGAGATGAGATTCTTTCTTGAATTGCAAGGGTTGTGGTTGGCAAGAAGAAAAATGATACTAACATTATTGTAGAGGATGATTCCAAAGTAGTCATGGGATTATGTTAAAAAATGAAGAAAGCTGCCCTTGGATGTATAGAAAAAGAAATAAAAGAACTCAAAAGGGGTAGGGTGTTAGCGGTTCAATGGGTGCAGAGAACAGCAAATCAGCTGGCAGATGGATTGGCAAAATCAGGGGGTTGAGATAGAGGATCTTTTTGGGAGGATAGGAATGCCCATTAATGTATATAATTAGGACTTGAACATCTCAATCTATGGGATATATGATCTTTCATAAAGCTTTTATCATATTAATAAAATTGTTTTGTTGCTTATCAGAAAAAAAAAAAGCTGGAAACAGAACTTCCTGAGCCAATCTATAACAATAGTAACTCTGGACAAAATGAATGTAAATTTGAAGCTGTTTTCCAAGGATTGGGTGGATTGAAACATCTGCAAAGCAATTATCTACTGAAATTGATTTTAGGGATGGTAGATAAAATTATCTAGATTAGATAACTGAATTTAAAGCCCTTCTTATGGCAAAGAACCCCATTACAGCAACAGTGATGGATCATCTACTTGAGCAGTTGAGTTTCTAATATAGTGCCAGGAAGACAATTTTAAAATAAAGCCTCTAAGAATGGTTAAAAATGATAATAACCTGATAAATCCACGAGTTGAACTGTTGATGGACTTCATCCACCAGTGGTCCATGTAAAACCTTCAAAGGTACCTGTAGTTAAGTGAAACTAAATCAGCTAATAATAGATAAAAACCATAACTAATTAATGAAACATTGTCTTCTAAGGCTCAGCATTTTTTATGTAATGAAACATCTGTTGGTTTTGTTATACACAGAAACATACAAAATAAATGGCTTACTGATCTAGAGACAGCGACTGGAATGGAACCATCAGGACGGAAAATATATGCTCCAGAAGCCTGCAGAATTATATTCACATGTGCAAACAAATACTCAATGCTAGATGAGTTTAGAAGAAATAAGCTTAGTCATGCAGAAAGCATTATATACCTGTGGATCCATGTCACCACCACTTGATCTATACCACAGATAGCTTTGTTGTATTGGCATATCAACCTAATATATTGAAACAATCACTTTGAGAAACATTTAGCCTGGCATTTGCATTCTTTTTGGTTTGGCCAAAATAATCCTCAAAACATTTCTATAAAATAGCACAGATTACATAAAGCAAGTTAAGGTTGCATTACATCAATGAACTTAAAATCTGGTTTTGTTGATATAAACCTCTTCAAGTTGGTAATAAAAGAACTACAATGATTTGAAAACAAATAGAAAACAGAAAAGCAAAAAGTAAGAAAGAAAAATCTGTCATATAGAAGACATCAGTATATGCAAATGATAGGTTAATGAATTTGACATCTTAAGAGAAAGAAAATAACTACATTTTTTTGGTAATACAAGAGAGAAAGGCTACACAAATCTAGGGGCATCCTGGCCCCAAAAACCTTCAAAAGCTTATCATACTTAAAAAAATGAAAAAAAAAAAGATAAGAAAAACCCTTGAATGGCTGCTTCCTCTGGCTGACTAGGAAGTCAGCTACCTTGTTGGCATGTTGCCTTCAAGAAAGAGAGCAGTTTACTCCTTGCAATGTTCCATTAGTCTAGAATGGTGGATCTTATTTTCCTTGGAATGCTCATCTTTCAACTTTAAGAATTTAACCACGAAATTTGAATCTCCTCCAATACAAACCAAGGTAAGCTGCTTTTCCTGGAATGCTCATCTGTTGTTTTTCTCCTACCATGCTCCCATGATAGGAAAAGGGGAAGACCTCCATGTTTCCTGACTTCTGCTCAAACCAGCCAGCTAAAAGGGTAGCCTGGTGCATGGGACTCCCACCAATGCAGGGTCTGGGGAGGGACAGATGCACGTGACCTTACCCCTGCAGATACACAGAGAGGCTGTTTCCAAGATTTGAACCCTGGTCACCCAGGTCACAATGGAGCAACCCAACCATTGTGCCAAAGCTCAAACCAGCCACTAAAATTCTCCTTGATGGAATTTGTGAAACACCAAGAAATCCTAAAAATATTTAGAAAGTGAGACCAGACACAAGTGGCAAAACTACAGTGAAGCAGAAGGTGATTTGCTGATATTTGGTATTGGTGCTAAACTTTCTTGGTGGTGCTGATTTCAAGAAACTATAGGTGCCAATTTCTAAGCTATTTTCTTGAAGGTGCTATTTAAAAAAAAAAAAAAAAAAGCTTCTGATGCTTATTTCTTGAGGCTTGCCTTGGGGCAAAGCTTAAGGAAAAGCTTTGGGGCTTTATCTGGAGGCTCTTACCTAAAAGGATAATGTGCATATGCATCATAATTCAAATTCCTTATGTTAAAACATGTGAAGTAGGATTCTCGCCACAAGAACTAGTTAGACAAATGACAAGATTTCTGGGCATCTGTTGGTTTCAATTTACATTAATAGTTTTCCAATAGTCTAGAAGGGCTTTATTATAAAAAGAATAGTCTAGGACTTGTAAGAAAGCTCTTACTACATAAAGTGATTCATCTATTCATTCCTTTTGTATAAAAATGTAGTCCTTTTGGCATAGTTCTGCAATTTTTACTTTAGTTGACATTTTCTTTTTGAAACAATGAGATCTCATGAGACTTAAACCTCATGTCTTGGGTATAAGCTTCACACATCACATACCATATACCCTTTGATTTAATACAATATACTTTACCGTTCTTTAAAAAAAAAAAAGCATTTCACCTCACACAACATTTTAAAAAATCGGTTTATCTTCTTTGCAGGTTCATCCAACATACTTGATCAAACAATATCTTCATTATCTAGCAGAACAGAATTTTGGCAAATTTGAAGAAACTCACCCCAGTTTTAGAATTGACCATTCGTTTGAGCTGTCCAGATGTTAATGAAAAGGACATTTTTAATTTGCCTGGTCCAACATCAACGGTCTCATTTTCTGGAGACTTTAGCACTGAGAGATACCCATTTCTGCTTCTCTCTGTATTATTTTACAACCCAATATCAGAATTTAAAACTAATTGAAAGATGTTAACAAGAAAGTACAAAGAGGAATCTTAAGAGATAAGGATAGCAACATTCTATCCTTATTTTCACGACCAGTGGGAGTTGGTGATTCTACAAGGGCTGAGATACTAGCTGTGGTACAAGGAATACAGGTTGCCGACCAACTAGGAGTAGAAAATTTGATAGTTGAGGGAGACTCTAAGGTGATAGTGGGTTGGTTGTTGAATCCAAAACAGTTTTCTGGAGCCACAGGGATCTTCTCAAGAAAGTTAATTGGCTTACAAGGAACATGTCAGTCAGTTTTCAGTGGGTTAGCAGATCAGCAAATGCTATGGCTGATTGTTTGGCTAAACAAGGGGTTTCAAGGGTTGAATTGTTTTGGGCTGCCTTATAGTTGTATTCTGTTAGAGTATGGTTATATTCTTATCTCTAAGGAGAGGTAACATCTCGTGCCTCCTCTTAGGGTGAATGTACACTTTCTTCTCTTATTAATAAAAGCATTATTCATTTATCAAAGAAAGTACAAAAAGGAATCCTACAGATATTTTAGGCCTCTGATGGTCAATCTGAGATGGAACTTTACTTATTTCCAAGTAGTACTTAAGGAATACTGTATAATAAAAGAATTCTATATGACAAGTGACATAAGAAAAAAATGATTAAAGAAGCTATTGTGTAAAATGAGAAATTTGTTGAATATCTATCTCCATCTATCTCCCTTACCAGCTTTAGAAATGAAGTAAGTGTTCCAACCAAGAGGTGGCACAGATACTTGGAACAAAAGCCAATACCTCCGAACCTGTTTAGGTGACACTCCCAAATATGCTTTGGTATAATAGTTTCTCAAGTTAATAGTGACATTATCCAGCTCCATATACTGTGCCTCAACTATAACACCTTTGGAGTCTTGTACAATAAGATTGGCATCGTTGACCTAACAGAAAAAAAAAAAAAGAAAAACATCTTTCAGAAAAGACCATATGATGTATTAATTGAATAGAGGGAAAAGAACACCAAATTAAGATTCAAAGGAACATATGCAACATGGATGTCCAGCAATTTGAAATCATGGTAAATCTAAACTCTAAATCAACTGTACAATTATGAACACTGAAATGAGAGTACCCAACATTTCAACCACAAGAAAACAGAACTGCAAACCCTTTGATCAGAAAAATATTGAAGTAAAAATGGCGAAATGGCTGATCTGTTGTCAAGCTGGGAAGTGATGGCTTTTCAGTTAAGGGCAAGATGCTGTAGGACTCTTTACCTTTTTGTCATCTGCTGGATTATATGGAAGGAAAGGAATGGCAGAATTTTTTAGGCTAAGGCTTCTTCCACTGAAGTTAAAATCAATAAAGCAGAATGGACACTAATGAGATGGGTCAACACCCCAAATCTGTTTTCTGGAGTTCATGTATATAGCTGAGTATTTAGTATTATGTGTATATCGCAGTTAATGCAGAGATGAAGATAACAGAACAGAACTTTCCATTAAAAAAAAGGACAAAAGTTCAAGGAGATTTTCAAGGTGGAATCTCCGAGAAACTCTAGCTATCCTTTGCTGCTACAGATCCATTATAATCCAAGAGGGTCAAATTGAGCCCCTCTTTACTTCCCCTCTACCAGCCTTCTAAAGTTCCACCCTAAACCTAGCTACACACAAAAATAGTTTTGCATCAGTCCCTATAAACCTTGTAACTTCAGCAATTTTCTGATTTAACACTTATTTCCTACAATTTGGCCTCCTGTTAACCCCTAGACCCTCCATATGAGATCTATTTTACAGCCCCAACAGGCCTCAGAACTTTAAGTTGTGCTTGTAGCTGTAACACAAGTGATAGCAAACCAACCTTACAACTAAGCTGTAATTGGGTCAGATTTGGATCAGATCCAGCCACATTCAAATCTGACCTGATTATGTAAAACATTAATCCAAATCCAATCTGATCTAGGGCCTTGGATTCAGAATCCGAGTTCACTTCATTATTTTTAAATTAACAGAAATTTAAAATATTTTAAAAAATAATCCACATCAAATCCAATTAATATGTATATACATTACATATAATATGTATATTATAAAATTTAATTGAACTTGGATCTTAATCGGATCAGATGTGGTCACATCCACATCAAATCCAATTAATAAACAGATGCTTCAACCAAAAAAATATATTAAATAGATGCAAGTTCAATAATCCAATCCAATTATGTAAAGAGATCGTCCAAATTTGGATCTGGTTTCAGACTTTCACACTCCATTGAAAACCCTACTAACAACCTTAACATCCTCATGGTCCACTTTAAACGCCTATATTCTCTGATATTTTTACTCCATAACCACCCCAGCCATTCCACCTGCTTGCTGTGAACAGTTTAGGGCACAACTGCATGGACATGGAAGAAAAGGCAACCTGGAATGTAGGAGTAACACAGAGAATGTTTGGATAGAATCTGGATACCATGGAAATTCAAGTTCTGGCAAGAATCTGGGTGCTTGGTGCAGATTCTACAAACTGACTCTAGAATCCATCTGCAACCTGTTTCTAGAATTTTGGACTACAGATTCTGGCAATATTAATAAAACATAAAAATCCAAATCTTTTTTTATTTTATTTTATTTTATTTTTTTTTGGGGGGGGGGGGTAGGCAAATGGGCCACAAAACAGGGGGTAGCCCTCCCTCAAGCCCCAAGACCCCCCAACCCCAGTGAAGGCAGGATTCAATCCCAAACCTCTACTACAACCAGCCACAGACCTTACCAGCGAGCAGATGGCACATTCTAGATGCTCCAAAACCTATCAGATTCAAGTATGCAATCCAAATGCCCCCCCCAAGGCATTGCTGATTGCATTCTTTTCCCTCATTAATGCCAAGAACTTACTAAAAAATTAAGGGGAGAAAAATTGAAAAGGGTTAAAAACACAAAGAAAGGGATCATGGAATTGATGTATGATGATGACCTGGAAGCCCATTGATGAAGCACAGCACCAAATAGTAGGCTGTATTTCAATTAGCTCACCATAAATTCCTTAACAAGTCTCTTAGTCCAGAAATTTGAAGTATGATTCAAGTTCTAATTTGTGGAACAATGTCTAACCCACAAAAATAGAAAGAGCTGGGATCCTCTCTTATATTCAATAAAAGAGTAAAGAAGAGAAAGAGTGTAGAATTACCTGGACTAGTAAGGCAGATTCCTGTAGCGTGAACAGTAATCGGAAAACTAATTAATTTCAAATATCAATTCTGTTCTCAAAAGCTTTACCAACCCTATCTTGTAGATAATAGGGACGAGTTAATTACAATAGGAGTCCAAAAAGAAACTGACTTGCAATAGGAAACTGACTTCTTCAGAAAAGGTATAACTCAGACTTCTAATAGTACTTCTTAAAAAACTAAAACTGATATATTGAACAACCTAACAGAAACTGAACTTAATTGCTGCTAGGGCTGCTACTATGATGCTTTTCCTTCTCAGTCCTCTTTCTCTTTTCATGTACTTCATGAAATTTTGGATGCTCTCTTTTCTCAATAAAATTTTCAGCAATATTTTCAATATTTAAGAGATGTACTGCATCACCCATTCCCCTAGTTACCTGACATGCCAGAGCCCTATCTGCCAATCTCAAAAATAAACAAAGAACAAGGTATTTCTCAAAGAGGGCATGGAAGAACCTGCTTAATGATAATAAATGATCTCCAAGTGCCTTCCTCAATTTCATAGTTGTTTCTTGAGGACTATTGGCGCAATCAGTATTGCTGGGTGTTCTTGGGTGATACAAAATTGACATAGGCATTGGTTGAATGCTCAAATATTTTCATGATCCTCTTGATCGTTCCCATGAGAACACCCCCCCCCCAAAAAAAAAACAAAACCATTGGCTTCAATTGTTAGTAATATAATTGAAAGTACCCTGTATCTCAAATCAATGAAGGAATTGCCTTTTCCATATGCACTCATGAAAACTTAAAACAAATATGTCGGTAGGCCAAAGACCACAGACGTCATCTGCTTATATTGGCAACATTCATCTCAATCAAGAAAGAAAACACAAATTTGTTTCTTTGAGGGAACAAAGACAAGAAGATCTTTTTAATTGATAATTTATCCACCAAGTTCTAGTTATGGGAACAATCTCACTTTTGCACATTATTTTATATTTTTTCTTTGTCCATACTCGAACACAGAAATTAGACAATGTAGGTGATATAAGTTCTTTAACCATGTATGTTTGAATGCTTGAAGCCTTCCATGAGCTTTAAAAAATATTATATAAATGCAGATATAGATATAAATATGAACAAAATTCACCCCCACCATCCCAAAACAAAACAAAAGTATGCACTCACAGGAATCCTAATGATATCGGTGCGAGTCCACCCGAGAGGATTGTATGTTACCACAACCTGAAAAATTAACAATTATGATAAAATGGTTTAATATTCTTGGTTAAATGCTTCAGCTCGTGGATTGTAGAAAATACAGAAACAATGGCAAAATTTTACCAAACTCTTCTCTTCTGGAATTTCTTCTTCACTTGGTGGACAATAGCTTATGTTTAGTAAATGACACTGTTCATTGACAAAGAAGGAATATAGAGAAAACACTATCAGAAAGGGATAAAATTAACCAGATCAATTGAAGATACACTTGATCAATTATCAGAAATGCAGGAGAAAAAGGAAAAACTTAAAGATTCTGTACTGCTAAATTGATCGCAAAACAGGGGGGAAAGGCAAGGACTAGTAAGGAATATTGTCCAGCAAAATTATGTTATTAAACCAAATAATTTCCTTCATGCCATTGACCTGGCCAGTAATATAGCATGAGTTGACATATAGACTCCTGAGTGGAACCACCAGGTTCAGAGGACAACAACAGGGATAAGGGTTATTTTATACTGTTCATTTATTTGAGAAAGTGTAAAGTACATTTCATCATCATCATCTAAGTCCTGTCCCATCCATATGGGGTGGTCAGCTACATGAATCCCATTGTGCCATTCCGTTCTGTTCAGTGTTGTATCCATTGTTAAATTATGATCCCTTAAATCATTTCTTACTGCTTCAACCCATGTTCTTTTTGGCTTGCCCCTATCTCATCCAGCCCCTTCAACTTGTAACAGATCACTTCTTACAGGTTCTGTAGATGATCTTCTCTGTATGAGACCAAACCATCTTAGCCTACTTTCGCTCATTTTATCACCTATGATGATTCTCCTACATTCCTTTGAATGAGTTCCTTTCTAATCCTGTCCGTCCAAGTTTTCCCACCCATCCATCTCAACATTCACATTTCTGCCACTCATTTGGACATGTTTATTGACTGCACAATACTCTGTTCCATACATCATTACTGGCCTTACAACTGTTTTGTAAAAGCTTCATTTTAGCCCAACTGATATTCACCTATCACATACAACTCCAGATGCACCTCACCATTTTTCCCATCCCACTCTAATTCTATGGGCAACATCCTCTCCTCTTGTTTCAATCCTATTATTATTAAATTTATGTTGCATATATTCTGCTTCAATCCTGCTTATTTTAAAACCTATTGTTTTAAAGGCATTTGTCCATGAAGAGATGATCAGCTCACTCCTAAGCATGATTACATAACAAAGCCAGTCAAAGGAAAACCCGAAACCCTTCTGATTAATATCTTTTGCGAGGCACTTGTTTTTTTTCGATGAATAACGAAAAATATTCATTAAAGAAGCTGAAAATAGTACAAGAATTCAGCCATCCCAGAGATTGAGATGGCCAAGACCCAATAAAAGAAACAAAAGGAACAAAACACCAGCCCCCAAGCAGCAGTTACAAGTTAAACCCTATAGTAGGGACAATTACAAGTCAGGAATGAGTCCCAACTCCCCAGAATAGATTTTCTCTTTCTACCCCTTGTCTGGTCAAGCCATCTGCCAACACATTTTCAGATCTTAAACCCATTGAACAGCTATAACTCTGTTTCTTTTGAGTTCAGAGATCTCTCTCAGAATGTGTATGTACTGCCAAGGGCACCTCTCTGCTTGCCTAACCCAATCCACAACCACTTTAGAGTCCCCTTCGACAATAATGTTGGTGTAATTATTCCTCTTGGCCAGATTTAGGTTCTGTAGGGCAGCTAGAACTTCTGCTCTAACTGCATTACCGTGACCAACTGGACCAGAAAATAGACCAAGGATGCTCCCATCAGCATGTCTGAAAATTCCTCCTATACCAAAAGGTCCAGGGCTGCCTCTACTGCAGTCATAGAAAATGAGCTTAATTAGCAAATGTGTAGGGGGTTCCCAACTAGGTTGAACAGGCACTTTTTTGAGGCATTTGTTTAACACAACAGTCCAGACCAAGAAAACGGTTTTGATGGAGCCCTGTGATTCTAAACAATATGTGAGAATTTGCCACTTCTTGTGGTAGACAGCTTTCTAACAAAAGATTTGATTGAAAACTCACCCTACATCTCCCACTTCCATACACATTGGTCAGATATACCAACCTTTTCAGTGTAATTTTGAAGTTTCATTAGAAGTACTGTCACCTCATCAAGGTCCCGGTCATGGAGGCTTCTGCTAAATTTGGGGATCCACACCAATAATAGGCACCACCTGCCTCTGCAGTCCTTTTCTTTTTTTTTTTTTTTCCTTGACATTATACTTCTTCAAGTGATAGATCTAAAAGTTTGGAAATAAATAAAACCAAATGTTTATTAGTCTAGAAGCATGTTGAAATTGTATAAGATGTAGTACGAGGGTGACTTCTGCAACAAAGTTCAGTAAACATATCTCTTGAATTGATATAATCCAAGCACTATTAGCATTTAACCTTTGCATCTACAATGCCTACAAGCCAAGAAATAATGGCAGCAGTAGTTTCCCACATACCTAGGTAACTATTAGGACAGAAGGAACAGTTTTAACATACAAGAATTCAGAACATCTTTACCTGGCTAAATTGTGTTGCAGAAGCTGCACATTGATTGCCAGATCTTGAACTCACTAGGCATGACAAAGCTAAATTTACAACACTCTCCGCCTAAGAAGGTTATTGCATTGAAAGAAAGTAAACAACGTCAATTATAAGATGGACCATAGTGCAGAAGGAAAAACCATAAATCAAGAGACTTAAGCCAGGAATGACTGCAAACCTCAGAAGCCCCAATGGCCAAGCGTTTTGCATAGTCATTTGTTGTATGTTGTTTTGCAGTGCCAGTGACGGCATCATGATGCTGTACAATTCCTAAAGCATCTCCCAAGCTAAATGTGTGGGGACCAGAGGATCTCCTTCCAACCAGAAACTCAAGTTGGCGTGCAGCCTATTTTAGAAAGTTATGGATTTTTTATACTCAATAACCATATAGAGAAGGGAAGAACTCGAACAGAAACCAGAGTCAGTGAACAAACTAGATATCTGCAAATTTGGAAATCTTATGGGTCAACTAAGGAAATCTTATGGGTCACAACTTGAACAAACTAGAAATCTGCAAACTTCTTTTTTTTTTTTATCTGCAAACTTCTATTTGCACAATTCCTCATGAACCATATAGACATTCTTAAGGAAATCAAAGCAAACTATAGAATAGATTGTTAGGATCATCATAGATCAGGGGATCAGAAAATCTCCTAGTTACAACTAAGAGATGGTGTGATTCAACCATGCTCCAATTGCATATATAACAAACATAAAGTACTGGCAGGGGGCAGAGCTATTTCCCCACCCATCCTGTATCAAGACATTTCTTAGCACAAAACCAACCAGACAAGAATGAAGTACCATATAATATCCACTTAGCATTCTCACATATCGCTTTAGTGCTGGGCGACTTGTAAAAAATCCAGTCCAGTAAGCATTTTCCCTATCTGCATAGCTGCAGAAATTACCAAAAAAAACATATAAATATCATATATTTAGATGAAGAATTCATGCAGTTGCATCACAAGGGAAACAAGTAATACTCACGGAAAATAGTCATCAGTTTTCAAGGGCCACGATTCATTTGCTGCATTTTTTGCATCAGCGTAGATTGAAGGAGTAGAATACAATGCATTAACCCGACCATCCTGTAAAAATTAGATCGTTTTAGGATGTAAATTTAAGTTGATCAAATTAAATTCAGTAAGTAAAGATCTAGTATTACTACTGGACAGAAGTCACATTGTATAGCATCTACAGGGTCCACCGCAATGCTTTGTTTTAATTAAACAGTCACATTCCCCTTGTTTGTACCAGTTCTGAGCAATGTTTTCAACCCATCGTTGATTCGAATGGTTGAACCATCACCCGGCCCCTTTAATTTTTCTAAAACTTGACAAAAAACTGTTGACTTGACCAAAACCTGTTCAACCCGGTCATCAGGTCATGGATTACACACTACATGTATATCAAAACTTCCATAGGCCATAACTTTGTGTTCAGTTAATAAAAAACGAAATAAATAAATTATAAATTAGACCTAAAATAAAACATACACACACACACACACACACTGATCATACAATTATAGGAAGTGCCTTGTGTAACATTCTTTTTACAGGTCCCTGGTTCCCATTTTATATTAATAGGGTCATATTGAGTGCTACTCATCAAGGAGGGAAAAAGGAAAGAAATGAAAAACAAGTATATACTTGCAGAACTGAACTGCTTCCAAGTCCCAAATATGCATAATGTGCTGTCATAACTTTACCAAATACCATGATCAAGATTGAAAACTTGGTAAGATAATTATTTTATTTTTCTGTGGATTATACCTTGTTAACATAATGGATTAATTTGTCCATTTGTTTGAACCAAGTTTCGGCATACTGATATTGAAAATCATCACCCATTGTCCACATGATATGATTCGTGCGGGTCACATTTTCCTATTAACCAAGAAAGGACAAGCAATGTAATCAAGAAAAGGATGAACCAAATTTTTGTGAGCCATGATGTACTCACATTGGAAACCATAACATCCATTACAGGGAATGTTTAAAAAATCTCGGGCTTACTTGGGTCACAGCAGCAGCGACGAAATCATTTACACGTTGCTCAACATTGTAGTCAAATAGATGAGGATTATCCTGCAATTCTAACACATATCTAATAAATCAGTGCAGCTAAACTGAATAAGGATGGTACAGCTGAAAAACAAGTTAAAAAAAAAAAAGAAAAACAGAGCCAGGAATGAGACAAGTTGATCTTGTTCAAGGTAGATACCTGAACAGGGGCAGAATCAGGAGATGAGTCATCATTTACTTCAAAATGGAAACCAGTAGGAGGACCATAATGAACAGGAAAGGCACTAGTGAAAATCTGCAGGGAATTCAGGCATGTCAACAAACTACACATGTAAAATAAAAACACAATAAATTTGAATATTCCTAAATCCTAACCTCGGAAGAAGAACCAAACGTCTTGGACCCACGCCATACAACTTCAAGAGATTTATCCTCTTTGCGTTTTTCTCTGTCCTGATAGTCAATCCTTGCAAAATATAGGGAGTCGAACCCAAGCTATATGGATGACACAGTGACACAAAATATAGGTTTTACTTGGTAATCAAGAAGATGACTTTGTAAGACTCCAACTAAGTATTCTTAAATCAGTGGAGATGAAATTAACTTGATGCCTATCGTACAAGTCATTGACCATGAAATGAGAGCACAGAATGTGTCAGGCAAAGGAAACGATTATGTAAAATCTTCTCATAATTTGCATACTCTTCAAACTAATTCAATTAAACAAGTGAACAAAAAACTATGATTTCCTTGTGATCAGAATTTTGCTTGCAACATAATATTGTTTGCAAAATAATTAAGATGCCATTGTTCCAATCCTCCAATCCCAAAAGAAGTGGAAAGATTAACAATAAAGTTAGCAACCCTTTAACTCCAGAACACGCACAAAGTTCTAGCAGAAACATTTCATATCCATCTTATGGGAACTTTAACCCTAGAATGTAGAATAGTTTCTCTTTCCTTTTTTTCCTTGTAATTTGTTTGGAGGAACCATTTTGTCATCTATATCAAGCTGCAAGGAAACAACCTATATCATCTTCTGAATTTAGTTGTTTAGTTATGTTTCACCATAATGTCATCTCATCTCCACTATATGAGATCAATTTGAAAATTGTATACCTCTGCTCCAAATAGGTATGCTTGCACAGCAGAGTGCCCAAAAGGATCAATCTGCCATCCAACACGTGGAACTTTGTTGAACTGCTTCTTTATCATGCGGTGTCCTAGAGTTGTTTGGTCAATCATATCTATATAATGGCATGTTGCTTCATCATGCATACTCCAGCCACCATTTCTGAACCAAATATGCAAAAATAACCATTACCATAAGATTGTAATATTAATGTTTTTTTTTTCTTTTGATTGGTAGATGGTGACACTAATGTTTTCTCTAATATGAAAATAAAATTTCTTAACAGCTGCATACATGAACTCCAATTGGCCAGAATCTACTAGTTTTTTCACTTCTTCTTGTGTTTCCAAATTTTGCTCTGCCCACCATCGTTGGAAAAAGGCCTACCAACCACATAAAAGTTGTTAGAAAAAGGCAACCAACATTTGTAGGTAAGCATAAAGATATATAATGTATGCGTAGCCAGGATAAAATACAATATGAGTTCCTTAAGTTAAATTGTAGAACACACATAGAGGGCATACATGTATACATGCATGCAAATACACTTCTGTGTAAGATCCATTTATCAACTTCTTGGAACAGTCCCATGTAATTCACCTATAGGCTATAACTGAGCATCTCTATGCAGGAACTTATTCCATATTCCATAATTGCTTCTTGTGCATCCGTTAGTGGTTCATTGCATACTGCAGTGCAGTTATAAGAGTTTCCTCACAATATGCAACCAACTTCCCATTTTGGCAAAAGCATAAACAGATAGATCCTACTTTTAATTTAAATTATTCATTTCCTAGGAACTTAATTTTCATTTTCTCACAAAAGAAAAAGATAAAAAAAAATGAAACAAAAAAATAGGACTATTTTTGCTCATAAATTTTAACACATGTTAATCAATCTAGTCATGCACCATGTGCATTTTCCACCCTTGATTTTTCAAGTAAGATGCATATAATAGGGCAAGTCAATAATTAGTAAAATAAATAGACTCGAATTTATTCATATTGAGACTTAGTAGTAGTAAGTAGTATTCAAAATAACAAAATGCAACCAAACAAATAAAAAGGGAAACACCAAACCACTTTCTGTTTACCTGCTCAGCAAAAACGAATTTCCTATTAGGATCACGGCGCAACGATTCAACAACTGAGTCCAACACACATTCAACACAAGCACCCTGGGCGAAACCACAAACATAATCAGAAAACAATTCAAAACGAATTCCTCAAGTTCCAAAACACAAGAAGCCAACACAATCAGCAACACGTAATGTTCATTATAACCTGTATACTATTATTCGATCCGACATAGTATTGATCGATTGTCTTCAACCATCCAACGTCATCATGCGAATGTGGAACCAAATGAACATTCAATTTCCCCTCCACAATGCCTGCTCCAGTGTTGTACTTAATGTACTTTCCATTAACCGCCCCAGAAGTAAAAATTACAATGAAAATGCACAGAACAGCAGCAATGGCTGCTGCAGCCACTAGTCTCGCCATTGCTCAGTCCTATCTCCTCTGTTCCGATCAATGGAAACTCTACTGATTTAATAGTCCCAACAACTGAAACCAAGGCCATTAAAAATTTAAAATATCAAGTGAGACAGCAGTGACGTGTGCAATGAAGACGAAATGGGTGAATGAAAACAATAAGACAAACGAATCTTTGTTTTCTACCCTGGCATTTCCCAGCCGGCCTTGGCTTAGGGTTTCGGTTTAATATTTCTCTTTTGTGCGTGGCCACGATTTCTACGCATATCTCTGAGTACCGCCATTAGAAATATCCAAATGAATTCGGTAATTGACTTTAATGGCAACTGTGTGGGGAGGAAAAAGTTTTTACAGTGGGATCGTTAGCGGACCCCGCGTATTATGGTTTAGAGTGAAGATCCAGATATACAGAGCAATCTCTTCCTCTACAGGCGATCCTAAAAACTAGAACTGAAAAAAAAAAAAAAAACCAAAAATGAACAGCTTGCAAACGATGACCAATGAATGTACACTGTGCAGTGTCTCTACAGTCTATACAGTCTAGTAACTCTAGTCTATAGCATCTGGTAAGCAACGGGCCAAAGATAGAGACATACGGGTATGGAGCTTTGGTATATGACATGTATTAACGAGACAACAAAGACACAATAGGTTAAATACTTAGCTGAACACTACGTCATTTATTGCAGTTATTTCGGGTCATAAGATGAACATATTCATGCGTTTCCTACATGTTCTCAATGCATAGTAGGATGTGCGTGTTGAGGAGCAAATTCGGTCTCGTTGTACAGTGGAAAGTAACGATCCAAACAAAATGTTGCTGATGTATATGGTGCACGATGCATTTGTATAGCATCTCCAATTTTGACCCATTTCTCCCTCCATCAATTCACGTACATCGGAAATGGTTATAATCAATCAAATAGTATTGGTCATCGATCAGTGGTTATTTGTTAAATCCATGTAAGTTTGATTGGTCGAGCAGCCTACAATAAAATTTTTAGAAAATAACAGTAAAATACCGATGCGGAAAAGATATGGCATGTATTTTTTATGCTGTTTTTGTCTTCTCCCCAATTATTGAGATAATTGCCCGGGATATATTCCCAATGTGCGGCTTAAATTCTGATGTGTCATATGCATATATGACGTGACCAGCGTTTTATTGTCAGTAGATCTATATTATAATTGTCCATTCATTAGCTGAAGTCAAAGCAGACCTAGCATTTTCATGAGACCGAATTAACCTCCCACAACGTCCTACGTCACATCTTTGCCGTGTATTGAAAATATTTCATCATTCTTGATATTATCATCTAGAGATATTTTTAATAAACGACGGAATGTGCTGTGGGGGTGGGAGGGGGGACAGATTTAAACTCCATTTTCATTGAATAATATCCACCAAAAATAACACCGACAGGAGGACAGTGATGGACTTAAATTCAAGGGTTTGGGTTTTATTATGATGCTGAAAAGATATGATACCTCAAAACTTATAACTAATCAAAAGATATTGTAAAAGCATTCTAAATGTACTACAAGTGTTTTTACATCCGAACCTATCTCCTCCTGAATGACAAAAAGATATTCTAAATGCCCATCTATATAATGTGCCATGAGAAATCTGATCTAGTCACAATAAATATTATGACCTTGTATTGGGAACATCTCTCGTATTCTTCATATGTTGTGGGAGAATTGAGATGTGCTCCTTACAGCCACATCCCACCATATATTAGAAACATCTCTAGCGTGACGAGATCTGTTCCTCACAGGCACATCCACCACGCATTGGGAACATCTATAAATATTCATTAATAAGTATGGGAGATGTTCCCAATGTATGGTAGGATGTGTGTGTAAGGTGCCAGGTGTGAGGAGCAGATTCTGTCTCATCTCTAGTTCTATGAATAATAATAATAATAATAATAATAATAATACAATTACGGGAAATATTTTTGATATACAGTCAGAATATACTACGAGGTCGATGTAAGGAGCAGACCTGAACTCACTGTAGGAACAAGTTGTAGAGTTCAAATCAGCCTCCCACAAGATTGCCCCCTACAACGTCCCAGAGCACATCTCCATTGTGTATTGGGAACATCTCCTGATGATAATATCATCATTTTTTTATATTATCATCAGGAAATGTTTTCAACACAGGCAGGAATGTGGTATGGGACATTGTAGGGGCAATGTTGTGGGAGTCTGATTTGATCTCCATCCGAGCCCTCATAAAAGTTGTAACCAATTGGGTAAATTTTTCATCAAAATTCAAGGGGAAGCTTTTTAGCGTGTTTTCCATAACATATTTTTCTGACATCATAGATATTTCTAAATTCAAACATCAGTTTTAACTGATTCTTAGTTTTTGTCACCACTGTCCGTATTTCATGTACAACTGCTACGACTACGGTGGCATGAGATGTGTACTCTTCTTGTTGGAGGATTGGTACTTCAATCCATTCGCGATTTTTCCTGCTATTTTTTACCAGGGGATCAAGGATTTTCTTGAGCTACACTACTGACTACTGAGGATAATTGAGCATGTGACGCAATAGTAACAGTCGTCCCTTTCATTCAGTACACTTTTGGTCCCGGAGAGACAACTTGTAAGGGTGCATAATTGAGCTGCTGGCCTACCATACGAAAAGGGAAGATAATTGAGCTGCATGATATCATATCTTTGCTATATAATCCCAATACTTGATTACCTAACCTATTTTTTTTTTTATATATATAATCATCTCGCGTGCATTGTATGGGTTAGAAATGGAGTTTTCAGTTAATTTTATATCCACATCATTGTTATTAGAAATTAAAAGCAAAGACCAAATGATTGATATACTGAACAAACAGAATGACAAAACAATAGTCATAATTCATATAGTCAATTCGGACCTGATCATACATAGTTAGAATAAGGCTCAAGGCTTAAATGATGATGATGGTGACGACCATTGGTTACAAATGGGTGTGTTAGGTTAAGAATTACAAACCATCATCTATCTTGTTGGTTGAAAATTAATATAAACAAAATAAATAATTTTTTACATTTAATCCTGCAGATATATACTTCCATGTGTTTCATGTTATTTTTGTCTACAATTATCACATACCTGATTCTTGACTCTTGATTCTGATATACGTTCTATGGAGAAGATGAGAATCTAAAACATCATATTCAGTCAAAGGAGAACGTTGCTGCACGGAATTCACACTGTTCCTTTGGTCTCTAGCAATTTGCTTTCCAAATCTCCTGTTGGTTAAAAAAAAAAAGTATGCACCACAATTTGTTCAAGATAATAAACGTCTAGCACCGTTTTGGAGAGGGAGGGCATAAGGATTATTTATAGCCTTGGAGGTGCCCAAAGGGTGTAATTGGAATATTTATTCTTTTCTGATTTAATTTGTGGTCAAGACTAGAAAGATTTTTTGGAATTATAAGAAGGTCTAATGACATATTTGCAATGCACAACCCTTCGTGCAAAATCATGGTTTTTAAAAACGAACAGATGATCGAACTGGTCAGGGGTCCAGTTACCGGTTTGAACGGTCCGACCGTTTGACTTGAACGGTTGGCCCGTTCTAACAAAAAAATTTAAAAATTTGAAAAACGGTCAAAATGGTTCGAACAGTTAACCAGCTGGTTCAGCAGTTTGCTTACCAAAATCAACGGTTTTGAAGGAAAAAACAATTTTGGAGGAAAACGGAACCAGTCAGGTGATCGGTTCCCAATTTTTCTAGTCAGACCGTCTGGTCCGGTCCTGTTTTGAAAACAGTGTGCAAAATTTAACAAGTTAAAAATATTGAATATCATGTCTATTTTCGACTGGACAATGTGTGATGCACGGATGTTGTTAAGAGAAATCAATGCAAAAGAAAATCTTATGATGTGGAATGGCTTAGTCCTATGTCGCTTTATATATGTTTCATGCACCGATTAATATTTTAGGAAAATCTATGATACGGGAAAGATATGGTATGGAAAGAGTTTTGACCAATCAAAATCCACCCATGAATTTTGATAAATAACACATAATTGACTATCACGTTTATGATACCAGTTGATTGGTCAAAAAAATTTTACATATGATATTTTTCCCATATCATAGTCGAACCCTTTTTATTAATACATTTTGCTTATTTTAAATTTTAAACTTTAAACTTTTTTGCCCACTCCTACCTAATTTATATAAAATTTTAAATTAGAGCCAACCTCCCATATTTAAAGCACGTTAACTCGTATTTGATTCGTATTAATTTGCACATTAATTGTCATATTTAAATTTTTCCACACTATATTTAAAGCCCTAACTCCCTTATTTAAAACAAAGTAGCTTATATTTAATTCACGTTAACTTGTTGCAAGATGTCAACTAGCTGGTTGGTAAGGCTTATGCAGGTTGTTGCAAGGGATCAAATCTCACCTGCACCAGGGTTGGGAGGTCATGGGTTGGGGTATCGATTGGATTGGTGGTCCAATCTGATCCGGTCCAATGTGAGTCCGTTACAAATGGATCAGGTCCAAATCCAATCTAATAAATAATTTGGACTATTTTGGACCGGTCCAATTCAATGTTTAGATCATCCAATTTGTTTAAATTCATTTTAATTTATATTAGTTTTAACTCAAACCTGGTCCATTGACACCTATATTCTTATCTTATATTAATGGACCGGATATTGGCTTACTCTAACCAAATCTAATATAAATTTATTACGGACTGACCAGGTCCGGTCCAATCTAATAAATATTTTGGATTGGATTGGTTCAATCCACTATGTCTTTTTGGTCTGTCAAATCCATCCAAATTGGTTTTGGACTGGATGGGTCCATTGATACGCTTAGTCATGGGTTGGGGATGGGCTACCCCCTCCTCCCCACTTTATGTATTTATACTTTATTTATAGTAATTTGAGATGCATTTGTTGGATTTTTGTAAGTTCCTTTAGCATATCTAAAATCATGGTTTTTAAAACCGAACCGGTCAGGGGTCCGGTTACCGGTTCAAACAGTCCATCCATTCGATCCGAACGGCCGGCCCATTCTGGCAAAAAAATTAAAAAATTTAAAAAAAAAAAAGAAAAACGGTTTGAGCGGTTAACTAACCGATTCAATTTGCTGACCAAAATCAACGGTTTTGGGGAAAATGGAACCGGTCAAATCCCAATTTTTCCAGTCCAACCGTTTGGTCCAGTCCGGTTTTAAAAACCATGTCTAAAGTATCTCAATTATTTCATGGTATTCATGCTTATTTAAAGCTTATCCAAATAGACATTAAAATTGTAGGTTCAATAACTTCTTTATGGTGATGTTAAAATCACCTCATCCAAAATAAAAAATTAAAAATTATGACAACCAAGGGAGTATGACTTTGCCATCCATCTAAAAGCATTTGTACCAAGAAAAACAAAGTTTTTTTTTTTTCCAAAGCCTTCAAGCAAT